TTCTGTCCCAAGGCTTCTTCCACTAGCATGGGGACCCTGGGTGGAAAGGCACAGTGACTGTTCCTTATCTTCCTCATACACTGTGAGTCAAATTTCCAGAACCTGCCTGATTTGTCATTCAGTGCATGAAGGTACTGGGCACTGTGAGACATGTTTTGTTTGCATTAACGCATATAATCCGCATTTTATAGGTGAAGAAATTGAAAGTCACAAAGCTTGAGTGACTTGCCCAAGGCCACACAGAAACCAGTATTGGGTCCAGACACTGTGGCTCCAGAGCAGATGCTTAGCCACTCGGACCTCTCTCCACAAAAAGGAGCAGGGAAAAGAGTGAGCTTCATCTTAGAGGTACATATGCCCCTCTGCGGGCCCAACAGTCACTGGCCTGGGCTCCAAGGATAGATAGTAGCTTTGGCCGTTGCAGGACATCCAACCTTACTCCTGAGTCCTGACCTCCTTCACTTCCAGAGCCTTGGTACCTTGGTACTGGGCTCAAAAATCTTACGTGCTTTTAGGGAAAGGAAAAACCTAACCAAAATGTAAATATCAAGTTAAAACTGAGGTTTTATGCACGAGGAACCAGCTTGGAGCTTTTGGCTGCTTTGGGCAACCCCTGCAAAAAGACCAAGAAACACAGGCAGCCCTGCCGGCTCACAGCCCAGGTTATGGCCTGTGCATGGCTGCACTGGCGGTGGAGCTAACTGCTCTTGCAATAAGCATCTGTGAGTGTCCTTAACCTTGTTAAGTGAGTGTCACAGAAATCAGGGACAAGCACCACGCCATGCTGACTTGAGGCTCCGGCCCCCAGCCGGGAGTGCAAGCCTCACACACCTGTGTGTGCTTGTATTGGGGCTCGATTAGGCAGAGTTGAATTACAAGGGCAGTGACATTTTCCATCTTCTTGGTTGAAAGAAGCAAGTTCAAGGTCAAACATCAAGGAGGAAAGCATATTTTATTGTCTGGCACTTGATTAACTAGAACACGTCGGTTCTGCTCAGATACTCAATGGCTTTCTGAATGAAGTCCCTTGGCTGTCATTTACCCTTCCTCGAGCTGGCCCTGACCTACCGTTCCAGATTTCTTTTTGTGGTTGTTGTTAAGTAACAATATGTTGTTAAGTAACAATAATATTTGCATCTGTCTATTACTTTTTTTTTTTTTTTGAGACGGAGTTTCACTCTGTCACCAGGCTGGAGTGCAATGGCTCGATCTCAGCTCACTGCAACTTCCACCTCCCGGGTTCACGCCATTCTTCCACTTTGGCCTCCTGAGTAGCTGGGGTTACAGGCTCCCGCCACCATGCCTGGCTAATTTTTTGTATTTTTAGTGGAGACGGGATTTCACCGTGTTAGCCAGGATTGTCTCGATCTCCTGACCTCGTGATCAGCCTCCCAAAGTGCTGGGATTACAGGTGTGAGCCTCCGCACCCAGCCATGCCCAGCTAATTTTTGTGTTTTTAGTAGAGACGGGGCCAGGCTGGTCTCAAACTTGTGACTTCAAGCAATCCACCTGCCTCAGCCTCCCAAAGTGTTGAGATTACAGGCGTGAGCCACCACGCCTGGCCAATTATTCTTTAAGTTGAGGAAAAGGTAAAATAACCTGCCCAAAGCCAATGCACCTGACTAGGAGACTGTGCCAGATGGCGTTACTGTTAGAATGTTTGCAGCCCCTCCGGCTGTACTAGTTATACTTTCCTGCCCGACTGACATAAGGCTTTGGTGTGGACTTGCTTTTGCCAGTGAAATGTGGGCAAAAATGGCAAGTGTCACTTCTAAATCAGCTTATGGTTTGTCAGGTCTCTGTTTTCTCTTTGCTGCAAGGCCAGCAAGATCCCAGATCGGGGCTGCTGTGTCACCCTGGGTTCTAGAGTAAAGTGGCCGGGAATGCAGTGGAGCTGGCCCACCATGGACTGCAGTGGGAGTGAAAAAGAACCTTGCTGTGGCAGGCCGTCAAGATGCTGGGGTGAGCTATTAGACTAGCACAGCTAATTGAAACTGACCACACAGCAGTAGAATTTGGCTTAATCTCAGACCTTCTGAAAGTGTACCACATTCATCCTCTATATTCCAGATGAATCCCCCTGCTTTTCTCACCTCTGTAGCTATTCCCATCCTGCCTCCTCTGCCTGGAATTTCTTTGAAATTCTACCCATCTTCAAAAGTCGAGCCTGGATTCATGTCTTCTGTGATCTTTCTGAGATCCATAATAGCACCAAGCACTTACTGAGCATTTACTATGTGCCAGATACTACTCTAGCATTTGTTTGATTTCATTTAATCTTCACCCCGTGAGATAAGTCCTATTATTGTTGCCATATGAGGTGAAGAGAGGTAAAATAATTTGTCCAAGGTCACACAACTGGTGTGTTGTGTGGCAGAGCCAAGACTCCAGCCCTGTGCTCCTTCCCCTCCAGTACTCACTGCTGTTTCTGTTCCCTGTTACATCTCTGCTCATCTCCATCTTCTGCCCTCCTCAACTCTGAAACAGCTTCTGTACCTGACCATGTTTTGTTTGTTTGTTTTTGAGATGGTGTCTCACTCTGTCACCAGGCTGGAGTGCAGTGGTGCAATCTCTGCTCACTGCAACCTCCGCCTCCCAGGTTCAAGCAATTCTCCTGCCTCAGCCTCCTGAGTAGCTGGGACTACAGCAAGCGCCACCACACCCAGCTAATTTCTGTATTTTTAGTAGAGATGGTTTCACCATGTTGGCCAGAATAGTCTCGATCTCTTGACCTTGTGATCCACCCGCCTTGGCCTCCCAAGGTACTGGGATTACTGGCGTGAGCCACTGCACCCAGCCCAACCATGTTTTGTTTTTTTTTTTTTGATCTGGGTTTGAGTATAAATTTTACCCCTTTCTGGTGGTGAGAACTTGGGCTGGTCACTTGATTTCTCTGAGCCTCAGTTTCTTTCTTGTTTCCCCCGCAGCTCTAAGCAAGGTGTCCAGTAAACGGTTACTGGCTGACTGAATGAATGAATGAACTCTCTGAACTGTGACTTGTCCATTTGTAAAATGGGAATAATAATGGTTCCTCCTTTATAGGGTTATTGTGGAGTCTAAATGACGCCTAGCACAAGGCATGACACCTAACACCTAAGAATTCAATACAACTTAGCTACTATTATTATAAGCCATAGGAAACATAAATACAGTATACAATATACAGAGAAAAAGCTTACTTCTCACTATGGGGATTGGGGGAAGCTAGCTTCATGGCAGAAATGACTTGAGTGGACTTTGAAGAACGCATAGAATCTGGACTCGGACATGAGGTGCAGGGAAAGACATTTCAGACAAAGGGAACAGCATAGATAAAGATACAGAGACAGTTTAAGTCTTAAAATCTTAATCCCTCTTTCCTTGGTTGTACCATTTCTAGGGTCAGATCTAAGGAAATAATTCTAAATATAGAAAAAACATTATGTGTAAAGATGTCCACTGCAGCGTTGCTTATAAAAGTGAAAACATGAAAGTAACTGATATGCCCAACAATAGGGAAGTAGTTAAATGAACGCTCTTCTGTTCATCTGATATATTGTCATGTCTATTATAATTAAATACATAAGAAGTAATAAAAGAAAATGTTTATGAATGATGCTATGTGAGAAATAAGAGAAAATGAATAATCAATATAGTTACAATTATGTAAAAACAAATTCCAAAACCAAAAGTAATATTCGGAAAGTCTAGGAGGAAATATACTACAATATTAATAGGAGTATCTTTGGAGTAATGGCCGTTGGTGATTGCTTTGGGATATTGAAAGCAATCTTTCTTACATTTATCATTTTTTTATCGGAGCTAACCTTTACTGAGCACTTCCTATGTACTAGGCAGTGTACTATTTTACACACATTATCCCACTTAATCCATACAGCCCCATGAGGAAGGTTATCTTATTAGCCTCTTACCAACAGGGAAACCGAGACTTCTCTATTTACACAATGAGCATATGTTACTTTTTTTTTTTTTTTGAGACAGAGTCTCACTCTGTCACCCAGACTAGCGTGCAGTGGCACAGTTACAGCTCACTGTAGCCATGACCTCCTAGGCTCAAGTGATCCTCCCACCTCAGCCCCCCAAGTAGCTGGGACTATAGTTGTGTGCCACCAAGCCCAGATAATTTTTAAAAATTTTTTGTAGAGATGATGTCTCGCTATATTGCCCAGGCTGGTCACAAACTCCTGGGCTCAAGCAATCCTCCCACCTTGGCCTCCCAAAGTGATGGGGTTACAGGGGTGAGCCACCATGCCCGGCCTATTACTTTCGTTATAGGAAATATTTACTACATTTAATTAATATTTTGTTATTAAAAGGCTAGAGATGTCAGTCCCTCCTCCTTTTTTTTTTTTTTGCTAGTCCAAACACTGTTATGATAAGCATTGTTGCACATATTTTCTCATTATTGCTACTCTTATTTCTGTAAATTACATTTCTTAAAGTGATATTTTGGGTCAAAGTGTATGTGTATCTTTTTTAATTGGAACTAATTTTAGACTTACAGAAAAGTGCAAAAGTCACATGGAGCTTGGTAATAAAAAGGAATAAAATACTGATACAAGTACAATTTGGATGAACCTGGAAAACATTATGCAAAGTAAAAGAAAGCCAAGAACATATTATAATATTCCATTTATACAGAATGTCTGGAAATCAGTAAATCTATAAAAACAGAAAGTAGATTGGTGGTTGCCAGGGCCCGAAGGGCAGGTAGGGAATGGGGAGTGGCTGTTTAGTGGGTTCGGGGTTTCCTTTTGAGGTGATAAAAATGTTCCAAAATTAGAGAGTGGTGATGGTTGCACAACTCTGTAAATATAACAAAACCTCTGAATTGTACACTTTAAAAGGCTGAACTTTATGGTCTATGAATTATTTCTCAATAAAGCCGAATTCAAAGAAGAAAACCTTAGAGTTTCTGTACACCCCTCTCCTTCCTTCCCCTAATGTTCACATCTGAGAAATTGTGGGTAAATTGTGGCACAGCTAACTATGGCACTTACTCATCGCCGATGTAGAGCTTGGGCCAGACCTCGTTGACGTGGGTGTACTGGGGACTGCCCTTCCAGAAGAGCCGCTCCAACTCAAAGGCTCCAGGGGTGCAGTAGTCCTCCTCCTCCCCTTCCTCCTCCACCTTCGGCGACAGCCTCTTGGCAGATGAGTAGGCATTCTTGAGGCTTGTCTTCACTTCTCCGGATGTCATTTTAGAGCTAAGGGATTTTCTCTCCTTTCTGCAGCTGGTTATGAGAGAGAAGCAGGATGGGGGTTAGCAAGGGACACTGAGGCAGGGAATAGGCTTTACAAAAAGAGGTGGGAATAAGCTAATCTTAAAATTTGGCAAGCGTTTCCCCAACCTGCTATGCCCCTGCTTCCTCTTCCCAGGCCACCCAGGTAAACAAGGAAGGCCATGATGACAGTTAAATGACACTTCCCCAATGTTCCAGTCTTTCTAAAGTAGGAGAGCTGGGGTCCTTGGATGTGGGCCAAGGCAGGTTTTGGGGCTAAGAAATCCTGCAAGCAGCAGCCAGTCCCTTCCCACCTTTCTTTAGACTTTACTCCTTTGGTGCCTACTTTTTCCTCTATCTGATTGAAACCTACTGGTTTGGGCCATTTTGGACCCAAAATAGGAAGGCCCAGAAGATCCCTGACATTCCAGGTCCATGGCCCTCTCAGCATCTGCAGGGAGCCATCGGCCAGCGGAAAGAGCACATCGCCAAGGCCATACCTGCCCGGGCCTGGGTCTGGGCCACATGCACGTCAGCAGGATTCAGAAGCCTCGAGAGAGGAGGACACGTGGCCGCGTGAGAGTTGACCTGTCAGAAGAACTGAAGGCAGTGCTCATGCTCTCACACTGGGAGCCTGGCCATCATTGCCTTAACTTACCAAGGGGATTGGAAGAGATGCCCCAAGATAGAAAGCTGTGCCTCCAGATTGAAATGTGAATTTGGAGTGCTCGTTAGGCTCTGCCAGTGGAATGCAAGAGAGGACTTTCCATTGTCCCCAAGGAGAGGAATTTGCAGTGGAATTGGACAGCGATTGTTTCCAGAGTTGAGTAACTGATGCACCTATGGTCAGCCTGGGAAGGGAAGTTGTGCTCTTACTCTGAGACTGGAGAGAAGGAGGAAAAGGTGGGAAGACGGAGAACCATGGAGGTGAGTGACTGGGAGGGAGTGCTATTTGTTTATTTATTTGACAAATACTTATATAACACCTATTGTGTGCCAGACACTGTTCCAAGTGCTTGATGATTGTAAATTCATTTAATCTTAACAACACTGAGGTAGGGTTATCCTAATACCCTATCATTAACCCCATTTTACAGATAAAGAGGATCATGAATTGAGGCTCTCTGTAGCACAGGGTCTTAGTGTGATGGGGAGAGAGATGAGGTGCAGTGTGAGCAGGGGCAGGCCCAGGATGCAGCGAATGTAGGAAAGGGTTCATGGCTTCAAAGATCATTAGGAACATGTCAAAGGGACTCAGAATACAACTTGAAGAAACTTCCATTTATCAAAAATGGAACAATTTGAACATGAAAAATAACAATAATTCCAGTGGATCAAAACACATCAAACACTTAAGTCATAATAATACTGAAGGCTGGGCTCAGTGGCTCATGCCTGTAATCCCAGCACTTTGGGAGGCCGAGGCGGGTGGATCACCTGAGATCAGGAGTTCAAGACCAGCCTGCCCAACATGGTGAAACCTTTTCTCTACTAAAAGTACAAAAAATTAGCCAGGTGTGGTGGTGGGTGCCTGTAATCCCAACTACTCGGGAGGCTGAGGCAGGAGAATCGCTTGAACCTAGGAGGCGGAGGTTGCAGTGAGCTGAGATTGTACCACTGCACTCCAGCCTGGGCAACAAGAGTGAAACTCTGTCTCAAAATAATAATAATACTGAGAACAGGCCAAGTGCAGTGGCTTATGCCTGTAATCCCAGCACTCTGGGAAGCTGAGGTGGGTGGATTGCATGAGCCCAGGAATTCAAGACCAGCCTGAGCAACATGGCAAAACCCATCTCTAGAAAAAATGCAAAAATTAGCTGGGTGTGGTGGTGCATGCCTGTAGCCCCAGCTACTCAGGAGGCTGAGGCTGAGGTGGAAGACCACCTGAGCCCAGGAAGTTGAGGCTGTAGTGAACCATGATCATATCACTGTACTCCAGCCTGGGCAACACAGTGAGACCCTATCAGAAAAAAAAAACAAAAAACCCAAAACTTAATTATGCACAGTTGGAAGATGTTTGGGAACCAGCTCCTTATTTTGAAGATGGATAGATAAAGGAGAAGAATCTGCATGTATTGCTCCTCTCTTATACAAACTATATACTACTGGCTCAATATGGGAAATTTTCTTTTATAGAAGTATTCCAGATAATGAATAAAGAAGGAAGCACCATTTCACACCACCTGATGAGCTGCTGCATCCAGAGACTGAGCATAAACTGCCAACCACATACAAATAAGAAGAGATGATCAGACATTATATGCCTTCGGACAGAAGAGCACACCACCATGGCAGGAGTCATCTCACCAAAAAAAACCTCGGTCTTCTCAGGGTCCTCAGGTCTGTATCTATCAGCCAACTTGCTGGAGATTCCGAGGACAATAACGTCATACCACAGGGCCTTATCTTTTAGAAAAATATTCTGAAATACTTGTTTCAAAAATAATATAGTTAGAAAATATAAATAATACAATGTTGGGGCAGGGTACTGATGTAGGTGTGAATGAGATGGGCTGGCTATGAGTGATGGTGATTGGGGCTGGATGATGGTTATAAAGCAGTTGCTGTTTCTCTTTTTTCCTTTTTTAAAATAGAGATGAGGTCTCGCTATGTTGGCCAGACTGGTCTCGAACTCCTGAGCTCAAGTGATCCTCCCACCTCAGCTTCCCGAAGTGCTGGGATTATAGGTGTGAGCCATCACACCTGGCCAGTTACTGTTTCTCTTCAGGTGTGTTTGAAATTCTCCATGATAGAAATTTAAAAGGAAAGCGTTGACACCACTGATTTGGGGAATTCGATTCTCCCAAGTCCATAGCAGATGACTTAAAGGATCACTAGCTAGCCGTGTGTGTCTGTAGGGATTGTGGGAAGCCAGGATTTGTGACTTCCTCCAGCAACTTCCTGCTTCCTGGTGGGGTGTGGAGAGGGCAATGGGCAGCAGAGGGGACCCTCCTGTGGAGTCTCTCAAAGTGTGGTCTGAAGACCACCTCTGTCAGAGTCACCTGGCACTGACCAAAAATACAGATTCCCAGGCTGCACCCTGGACCAGGAGTTGGGGCACAGGCATCTGTATTTTAGTGAGCTCCCAAGTGAGTCTGACACTTAGTAAAGTTTGATAATAATTGTCTGAGATGTGGCTAGAGAGCCAGGGCGCTGCAGTGTCAAGGGAAAGGTAGTGAGGGCGCTTATTCAAAATGCCTCCCGCTGTCCCAGTGGGATGGGAGACCTGGTCTTTAGCCCAGAATGCAGCTGCAGGCTGGGAGGAGAGAGGACCTTGGGACTCCTGAGTGTTGCTTCTCTGTGTAGCCTTGGTGTCTGGCACGTAGGAGGTGCTCAGGAGATATGGGTTGGATGAGGAAGTGGCTTAGTGAATGAATGGAATGAGTGACTGAGGGGTGAAGGAATGATTAAGGGCTGTGAGGCCTGTGCTAGGGGCTCAGCAAGAGCTGCTAAGGCAGGCCTGAGCCTCCAGGCTGATTCGGAGGAAGGTGAAGGTGAGGGGACTGCAGGCGCCAGGTGGGCTGCCCTCCTGCCACGGGTGGTCATTCAGGCCCAAACTATTCTGGGGCCTGTCTTCTGTGTTTCCAGTCAGGAAGGGAGAAATTATTTCAAGGAGTGGCCAGAAATCTTTCTCACAGAAACGAGCCCAGACCCCTCAGTCCCCTAAGAGCGTAAGTAGTTATAGCTCTCCTTGCTTCAGGCCCACAGTGTCTAAAGATCTGAAGCTCAGCTCATCCATGGCACCCACTCTTCTTGTTCGAAGTGAGTAGAAGCTGGGCACCATACACCTAAGGGTGGTGATTTAGGCCATCTTGAACTCTGCCTGCGGTTAATGGAAGCTTCAGAAGAGGTGATTTTCAGGAGACACTGGGGTCAATTCCATTCTGAAACCTCCGTCTGCCTCCTTTGATCACTGAAGCTGACCTCACCCTTGATGAGGCTGTTCTTCCTTCATTACACTGTGGAGGGAACCATACCCGTCTCCATCGCTGTGCTGAAAGCCTCGGCTGGATTTCCAGACAGAAGAGGAAGTGGTGCGGTCTACCCTGAAGAGCTTGGCACGCAGAGTGAGCCCTGGGATCTATTATCCTCCAGCATGCAGATTTGATGGGGAAAGAGAACAAAGTGTGGAACCGTCCAGAAACCACAGACCTGTAATCTTTCCAAATCCTGAAGGCGGCCTGTGTGCACCCTCTCTGCATGGCTCCCAACTCTCTAATTCTCAGAGAGGCCAAGAGCATCTGTTTCCCAGATCACAGCCAACATGGAAGGGAAGACAAATCTGTTCTGTTTGGTTTCCATAGATTCGACCCAGAGATTAACTGCCAAGGTCTCAATGACACACACAATATCAATCACAGGCTAAATGTCATAATGAGAGCTGGGCAGGCTGTCAAGACAGGCCTCCAGGTTCCTGTTACAGCTTCATATTTAAGGATTTGGTCCCAGGAAATCAAATGCTATCTCCGAGACGACTTGGCCTACATGCAACGGCAGCCTGTCTCCTCCTTAAAAGGTGACAAACTCAGGCTCCTTCAGCGAGGGACCAGGCAGATAACATAGAGGAAGGAAGTGGGTTGGGTGTTAAGAAGTAAATTATTAACAAACAAAAACCTGACTGTTGGCTTCAGGCAAGAGACGTTAGGGAGTGGTGGGGAGTGTGGCACACCAGGGAGCATATACCTCCATTAAGGGGGCAGCAGCTTGCCATCCCACGTGGGAATGCAAGCCCAGATTTTCTGATATTTTTATGATTCACATAGATTGTTGTGAGAAATCTATTGATTTTTAAATGTAAGCCCCTGTAGTCAGTACTATCCTTGTCCCGTTGCAAGGAAAGCATCTACTACAGGTGCCTACAGGTGCCGCCTCAGCTCAAGTCACTGAAGCAGAAGTGGACAGTTCTTTATACACAAAAGCCTTCCTACCTCAGGTGCCTATTTTCCTCTTGAGGGCATTTTCTAGTCCTTGTGCTGGTCAGGCCTGCAGTGTGCGGAAACATCCCCCAGAAGTTATCGCCAATTAGGGGCAGGAGTTGCCC